ATTTAACAAATTTTTGGTGGTGAGATAGTACAACTGACAGCGTTATTAATTTCACCACTTTAACAGTTTGTGGACTACTAAAAAAATACCCTTGCTTTAACAAATAAGTTATTCTAATTCATTTACCCAATTTTTTATGGTAAGATAATACAACTGACAGCGTTATTAATTTTACCACTTTAACAGTTTGCGGACCACTAAAAAATACCCTTGCAACAAATAAATTGCACTAATTCATGTACCAAATTTTTGATACCAATATTAAAAATAACATCTTCATTAATTTTACTACTTTAACGATTAATAAACTACTAAAGAGAATATCCTTGCTTTAACAAATAAGTTACTCTAATTCATTTATCAAATTTTTGATATGCACATTGAAACTGACATCTTCATCTAATTTGATCACTTCATCTGTAAATATTTAGTTACAGTTCAACGGTTAACTGTTTTCCCAAAATGAAAAGATCATAAATGAAAAGATTCGAAACAGTTTTCGGGGGTGACTTTTCTTGGCTTATATTGATTTACTGCCGGTTTAAGAGTTCATCTAATTTCTATCGAAGACCGACTTAATCGGATTCTTAAAATTAGATCACCGATAGTTGACTGATGAATAACTGATCCGCATTAAATGTGTCGTCCTACATAAAATTGATTATAGTTCGGTGACAACATTATCGATAACAGGTGAAATGAGATTTCCTGACGAATTATTGATTCAATTTTTAACGAGTGGCCTACATACAGAAATATTTTCCATTTTGAGTTATTTTAGCGGTGTATAGCTCTTGTGTCTTAAAATCTTGATGTTCTACTTGCGTTTCCCTCTAGTATGAAATAGTAATTCATTAAATAATTTTATAAGAATAAATATTTATCTCACAAACCGTAAGAAGAAAATTTCTTTCACAAAGAAAAAATATGAACAAATGAGTGAATCAATATATGAAAAGAAAACGAAAATATTTATACTTTCATTCACGTGGCAATTTTTTAATTTTTATTTTAACATTTTTTTCAAGTTTTCTCGATTAAATTTTGTCCAGAAGATTTCAACTTACAATATAAATTTTAATAATAAATTATAAAATTTTGTTGAATAGATTGAAAATTCTTTTATTTGGACATTTTGTCTGTCATTAAAATTCATACGACTTTTAGTTGAGCCGATATAAAGTAGAAGAAATTTCTCATACAGGACGGCTAACTATGACAAACTATTTCCACGTAGGGTCGTAAAAAGACCAACTTGCCAAGGAAGTGCATCTGTTTCTATTTTTCAAGACGTCCGTCGGACAGGGATATATCATGAAGATGTATAGTTTCGCCTGCATCGCGGTCGTTCCGACGGTTGCAGAAACCGTATCGAACCTCGATTTGGCAAATGGCCAACATCTTACTGAACAGTAGACTGGAAATTGTATCGACAATCCCGCATATTTTTGTAATAATTGTGAAAACAATGCATTTCAAAGTTTAAGCATTTGGAGAGGCATTTTTGAGGTTTAGAGATTTGGAGAATTCAGAATTATGGAACGTTGAAAAAGGGTGTAGGTATTTGGGGATTTAGGTGTATGGAAATATTGGTAGATAGAGATTAGAGGTTAGGGGTTTGAATAGATAGGTATTTGGGGATTCAGGTATTTGGCAATCTTGGTATTTGGGAAGTTAGGTATTTGGAGATATTGGTATACAGGAATATGCGAATTTGGGAGTTTAGAGATTTGGAGGGCTAGGTATTTAATGTCTTAGGTATTTACCAATCCTGCTATTTAAAGATTTAGCTATTCGACAATGTAGGTATTTGATGATTTATGTAACCGTAGACCTCGGTTCAGATTTGAAGATCTAGGAATTCAGGAACATAGAAATTTAAGAATCTAGATATTTGGAGATCTATTGATTTTAGGTTTCAAGAATTTGGAGATCTAGAAATAAGAAATGAAATACTTGTGTATAACAACCACTTGTCCATTTAAAAATGACCAAATACGTATCCTCATCCAAAAGAAGCCTACATCATACCCGAGTACTCGACACCCTTTTAAACAGCGATATCAAACAATTTCGATGACTACCTTAAATAACAGAGCAGAATAGAGATGTAACGATTCACGGAATCGATCAGTTGGTTTTCTTGCAGAAAGTGTAAAGACTAAGAGGGGACAACGCCCGAACGTTTGTCCGTGGGATTCTCGTGGAACGTCGCGAAGTCCATTTCGCTCGCGGAAACGTTATGGACGATTTGATCGAAACTCCCTGAATTAATAAACACACGAGTGCATCAAACTCCCTCGTGGTAACTTCGTCGTGGAATTCTAACGTGCCTTCGCTACACTCGAACAGCCGGGAGGAATACAGAGCTTCTGTAATTTCCGGGAAGTTAGATGCGATTGTTAAGAGGGAGTTACGTTTACGGTGAATCGTTTTATTTATCGTGATATTACCGCAAGGTGAACTATCACCTTGCTGTTTCAACGGTATCGATACTGTTGATCATTTTACAATTACCCGGACTCTACAGTAATCTAGGTTCTGAAGAAGGAAATTTTCGATTAAAATTGCTCTATGCTGCTTTCGATTGATCGTCCAGCTTCGTTTTCTATATTTGGCCTCTTCGCGTCATGTTCTTTTTGCAATATTCATTTATTGCTTCTTTAACATTTAACTGTCGAAGGAATGAAAATAACTTCACTGCCTTCGATGTCCTAAATTTCAGCTTTTTGAGGTTATGTTATAGAAATATGTATCGATTTTTGCTGGGACAGTACTATTTTATGTTTCACTCTTTATTCATTATTTTTGTTTTATTTATGGACACTGCTAGTTTTGGTGTCAACGCATGAATAATTAATTCTTGCTGTGAGATCATGGGTGGAAGATGTACTATAATTGCAATTATTCGTTATTAAGTCTGTATGATATAATGATGTACAATTATGTAGAAATACTATATAAATAATATTAAAATAATACACAAATAATATACAGACAAAACACAAATAATGTACACATATTATATGCATAATAAATAACATGCAAATAATGCACAAATAATATATAAATAATATACAGACAATATACAAATAATGTACAAATACTATATACATAATAAATAACATGCAAATAATGCACAAATAATAATAATATTATGCAGATAAAATTTGACAATGACATTAATAATGTCTTTAATACGATAAAGTATCAGAAATACTTTCTCAACATCACGAAAAAAGAGAAAATAAAAGAAATTTTCGGAAAACTGCGTAAATACCGCAACGTGTAAATAAACCACTCATTCTCGAAACAGCAGGGTACGTTCCAAAGGGGTTGAGTTCTTTTTATATCTCTGTCAAGCAGTATAATCAATATTTTCTTTCATAAACAATGCCAGCAACTGACGTGATCTTACAGTGCTGAATTATCAATAATATTCAGTCGCAGTTACATTCTGTTACCGTATTCCTTGTAGAAAGTTTTCATTTCCCTGTAACTGGACGCCATTTCGTTGAAATTCCTGTAATATTTCATCCGGCCGGTAGTTAAAATATACAACAAACGACGAAGTTGGAGTATGGTGTAAGTAAACGTACGATGAATAGGTAGATCGTAAATAAGGAAAAGAAAAGCACGGAACACCTGGAAAATTGTAGATCGTGAAGTTTCGAACTTAAAGCATACGTTTTATGATTGAGTCATTCCACTTGGCATATTAAATGGTTTCATTCTTTAACTGTAATCGTTAATTGATTTTTGTAGCATGTAAGTTTTTAAGAAGACCACAGACATCACTCGAATATAAATCTGAATGCTTTCGTAATTTAGCTGATATTGTATTTAAAAAAGTAATGATACTTTTATTATTTACTCTTCTAATTATACAGAACGGTAGTTGTGCCAGTAAATCTCAATAAATCTCGGGTATACTTGACTTAGTTTTCCTCTTTAATTTCAAGACTACCACTCTCGTATTCCCTTTGATAGTTTCTTTCTGAATAGAGTCGACAGGTGTTCTGAAACTCTCGCGTTACCAACATTAACGTAACAAAATCCATAAAGAAACGTTTACCAAACACGTGAGATGCTTCGAGTAAAAATTTTTTGAATGAATTAACGTATTGATAAGATTTTTCAAGATAGCAATTTTTTGGAGGCACCAATTTTTTTGAGAAAAATTTAAAACCGGATTATAAATAAAGAAATAATTTTTATCTAACGAAGATATTCATTTTTCTGTGAATATTTAATTTCTTAAAAAGAGGTTAATTTTATTGAAAAATGGAAAACTTTCCACAAAGGAAAATTGGATATTAAAAACTAGGGTATTGTAATTATAGTTTTGTAATTATTGTAATTATTGTAATTATATATTATAAATATAATTAACCTAGTGAATCTTCAATTGACAACCCTACATGCTAAACAATACAATTTTTGTATTTTTATACAATTCTATATGAAAAAGATTAAAAATTTGATTTCTGAAACTTTCAAATATACATCTGGTGAACTATTCTGATTGAAATTAACACAAATACAAATATTAATAATTCTATAAAAAATTATAGGTACGCAAATGACACGACAGTCAACCTGTTAAATTTAACAAACTTTGCATGCAAGTGTATATTGTAATTCTATTCTGAAGATCTCATTTCAATTCATCCACTTTGCATATTTCACGAAATCTGAATAACGTATTTCCTCATACATACCACAGAGTTTACATATTTTCTCTATAAATTTTCATGATATAATTCTACACGTTTCCACAATAAATAAAAACTTGACAATTCTTCGAAGTCGACGTTCGATTAAAGGTATCAATTACCAAAAGAATCACCTGAAAATAATTCGTATCGACCAGACTAAACCCAACAGTCTAAAAATTCCCCAAAATCGAATTCTTCACGTGCATTTTTGGGTCAATGATCATAGCAGTCGAGGCCCTTATAAAATCAATCAATCAATTAATCACGTGCATTTCTTTTTAGGTTCCGAAAATGGCCGCGCCTCCGCAGACAGCGAGGACGAGGGTGGAGGACTGAGCGCGGTAGGGGACGGTCACGACCCCACGGACACCATGTCCAGCAACGCATCCAGCAACGTGAGTCCCGGAGGATCTCTCGAGAACGGTCAAGGCACGTCCACAAGTGGATCGAACAACAAAGCTCGACGCAGACGGACCGCCTTCACCTCAGAGCAATTATTAGAACTCGAACGCGAATTCCACGCAAAAAAGTATCTCAGTTTGACCGAAAGATCGCACATCGCGCACGCGTTGAAGCTATCGGAGGTCCAGGTGAAAATCTGGTTCCAAAACCGGAGGGCCAAATGGAAGAGGGTGAAGGCAGGTTTGAGCGGAGGAGGTGTCGGTACCGGTGCAACCAGCATGGCGGCAGCTGGTGCTTCCAGCAGACACAACGGAACTGCCGGACAACATTCCGGAAGTGGAACCAGAATCGTGGTCCCTATTCCAGTGCACGTCAGTCGACTCGCCGTGAGATCTCATCATCACCATCTGGAGAAGTGTGCCAGGCCACCGAGAGTCAGGCCAAATAGCGAGAGTCCGGCGTCCAGCACGTCATCCTCGGTTCTGGGCGATGCTCTGGGACTGGTCAACTCGTCGATCAACCTAAGTGGACAGGTGCAAAGCCCTCTGAACAGCGGGGTCGGAATTGGAGTCGGAGTTGGCCTAAGGGCCTTTACCGTGCCCTCTCATCGAGGTGGACTCAGCTCTTCCGGCAGGTAGTGAACGGTATATGGTGAACCGTGGACTCGAACTTGAAGGATCATGATGATTCGTGATTCTTTGAACGGTTTCGGAGACTAGTGTGGGTAGACACGGTGTATCTTTGATTAGGGTGAGGGAAGCGATCATGTTGGGTGAAGATTGGTAGGTGATTCGAGCAATTAGTGTTTTGTTACTCGAGTGCTCTTGCGAATGTTTAAATATTTGTGAAGTGATATTGCGGGTTCGGAAACAAAATTGGAGCACAAGTTTAAATTACAGATATATGAAAATTGCAGCTAGCGTTTAAATTGTAGATAAGTGAAAATTGGAGCAAAGGTTCACAGTTAAATGGAAATTGGAGCAGTAAATTGCAGTTAAATAAAATTTGGGGCAAATGTTCAAATTGGGTTTACATAAAAATTGGATGAAGATCCAAATTCATGTTAAACCATTTCGCATTTTGATTCGTGTACAAGGTATCGAGTTAGGCAGACTTAAAATCGGAATTCAGTTTTAATTCTGTCTTGTAACATTGATATATAGGTCGCATTTGTCGAACTTGAATGACATGTCCAATACAGTTAAACTTCAAGTCTGACGACACAAATGTAAGGCCACAATCTAAGTAAATGTTCGATCAGAAAAATTTAGTTATGAAAAGATAAAATTATTTCAATCAAACTATGTGTAGTTGCATGGACAATTATATGAAAAACAGACTTCTGTTGAAGCTTGTCATCCAATAGTGTCATAAGCTGCAAATGATCATAATGCAAGAAAACCCAAACTAGTTTTTAAATCATAAAATTAATTACTGAGACTGATTCTTAAAGATGGGATAACTCAGATAGAGCCTGAAACTATAAAGCAAATATTTAAACATTCAGATATGACCTTAAGTGATTAATTGTCCCTTAAGTCCAAGGTCTTAAAAGATGTAATTGTAACTAATGATCGGATCACCCACCAACCCCTCTCTACTCATTCCGATCAAGTAATTCCGGAATCGCCTGATTTTCTATCGCAATCGAGATCAATCGATGTAAATAAGCGTCTCGATCGTAGGTAGAACTCTGTAAATAGCTTTCGCATACAGCGTACCTAGACAGTTTCGTTCGTCATAGGTCGTGTACTTGTAGATAATTTGCCTGCGTTAAGCGAGACTCCGCTCTATCCAACGAGTGCTATGTTACGGCGATATATTCTATCGATCGAGCGTGCGATTATTGCAGCTGCATCAAAGCAGCGATGAAGCGGAAGACCGGCTGAAGTGTATATCGAGAGGGCAATAAAACGTGCGAGTATCATGTGGAATACAGTGAGTGTATCTGAATTACACACCATGCCATATAGACTCCTAGCCCTATTTCCCGCGACTTCGATATTACAAAGCAGAAAACGTTCGCAATTCCCGGAGTTGAGAGTTATGGATCAAACGACTCGAGGCTCTCAGCTTCATTATTCATCCGCGGGTTAAGGCGAATTAAACGCGTTCTCTATGCCCTATGCTTGTCGACGTCTATTTCAGGTCGTCACTCTGCCAGGAGTGTGCTTTAATTCCCAGCGGTTCGAAGGTAAGTGATCCGACTTTGAGGTTACGTTGATTTATTGGACGATTGAGTTGATACCTATTCTTTTCTGGAATATTGACATTATTAAATACTAGAACGGGCTCGGACAGCAGAGGGTGGATTGCACTTATTGGGGTGCGTTAATAGAAAGATAGTAGAAGAGGCATATTTAAATTTTCAAGTTTTCGAGAGCTAACTAAACAAAACTCTGAAATTTCTACATTTCCGATTTTCTCCGAATTTCTACATTACCACTTATGATTTCTACAAATCATTGAATTTCTAAATTTCTAAGCTCTGTTTCTGAATTAAGATCCCAAATTTCGATCCCCTAATTCTGTATTCACTCAATTTCTAAATTTTTGAATATCCAAATTCCCGAAACCCTAAATCTCCAAATCTCTACAATCCACAATTGCTAAATCTGTAAACCCTTAAACGTATTAACTCCTAAATCACTGAATCTCTAAATCACCGAATCCCTAAACCTTCAAACACCTAAATTACAGAATCCCTAAATCTCCAAATTTCCCAATTTCCCAATTTCCCAATTTCCCAATATCCTAATTTCCCCAATTTCCCAATTTCCCAATGTCCTAATTTCCCAAATTTCAAAATTCCAAAATTCCCAATTTCCAGAAATTTACAAATTCTCCAATCCCCAAATCCCTAAATCCCTAAATCCCCAAATCCCCAAATCTCCAAATCCCCAAATCTCCAAATCCCCAACCCTTCAAATCTCCAAATCTTCAAACCCACAAATTTCCAAATTCCAAAATTCTTAAATTCCTAAATTCCCAAAACCCCAAATCCCCAAATCCCCAAATCTCCAAATCCCCAACCCTTCAAACACCTAAATTACAGAATCTCAAAATCTCCAAATTCCCAAATTCTCCAACCACCAATTCCCCAAAAACTCGACATTCACATATCAAAATTAAAACCTATTCTTCAAAATGCTAAAAAAATATTGATAAAAAAGTGCAACCTGCTAATCGATTTTCAAGTTGTTTTGACAATTACGAGCGAGTGACTTCGAAGGGTAGCTTTTGTCAATCAGGGTTTGGACTCCCGCGATCATGGTCTCCCATGGGATCACCTTGACGCGGAAAATTGCACTCTGCACACCACGGGCGTGGCTGGACGCGCGTATTTTCGCAGGCTGCGGCGCGTGCTGGCCCCGTCTTTCAAGGGGACCCATAGAAAAAGCAGACCCCGTGTTCACCTCCCTTGAACGCCTCCGTAGGCGTGACCCCATATGCCACTTTCGACTATGCAACCTAACCGCCTCGTAGATATGCATTTGTGCATTTTGTACAGTCGGCTAATTTGTCTGCTGAATGCAACAAAACCTGGAATTTTTGGGATTTCTTGAAAAGAATCTTATTGGGGGTTTGACAGATGCTTTGGGTAGACGCTCTTTTATTGGTCCTTTTATTGGTGAATGGTAACGTGACTTTGTATATTGTTTTTGGATGTTATTGAAAGTTTATGTTTATGTTGAATGAATGCAGGTGTACAGGAGTAGTTTATGTTGAGGAGAAATTCAGGTAAGATGAGGGTGTTTAGAAAATCAAAGAAAATTTAATTATTTTTTTGTTACTCTATTTAGTATATTAAATAATAAGTTTATTGTAAGTATATTATGATTATGTAATTATAAGTTTGAGATAATTAAGGATTTGATTGAGATAGAATCAGATTTGTGGAACAAGTCAATTTTTGAAATTCTTAGAGTAACAATTTAAAGGTTTCAGTATGAATATTGGAATACAGTATAATACTAGTTACAATATAGTGTCACATTATTCAGTATTACTCTAATAATAACCTACTGAAATTATTTACAGTAATTGCAGTGTTTACTGTACTGCATAATTTATGCAATAATTTAATACAACAGAATCTTGTGAAAACTATTTCCTTAATTATCATTAAATTTCAATTCAAATACAATATAGCTTTCCTTAGAGCAAGGAAATAATTTTTATTTGACGTCTACCTGTATGAATAAATCTTTGTATTGATTCACTTTCACCTACTTAAAGAGTGCGTTTGGAATCTAATTTTGAAATTAATTTGCGGTAACATTACTACTTTGCCAAATTAAAGCATCCCTTAGTTCTTAAATCGATTAACTTCAACGTTCATTTTGTCACAAGCTAACGAGACACAATTTACACGACGCCTAATCGATCAAAATTTACGACTACACGAATATCAATACGTTGATGCATCTCACGCGCATTAAAGCAGGAAGTGGATCGGGTAGAATCATACAGTGACTTCGACCCGGGGCGTTGCAACAGGGGAAGGAAATTATGGGGGCACAATAGAACGGGGTTCACAAAGTGCACGAGGCATTTAGTTTGGTGTATCATCGGTGTAATTTTCTGTACCCGTATTTGCATGATGACAATTTCAATTTCAATATTTAAGCGACTATTATCTAGCGATGAAAGGAAGCTTCATACACAAGTAAACTGTAACATTGATTTGCAAAATTAAGTTACAAAAATGGTATGTTGGAAAATAATTAAAATTTAGTTGCATGTAAGACAACAATTTATTTTTACTTCAGAATAATTATGGCAAAGGGGTTTTAGGTTATAAGACTAACTAAATGTTTTACGTACAACCATTTAATGGGGTTGCAAATAAAAACAACAATTCGAAGATGTGTTACTGATATTTTATGACAAAATATTTTAAATTATGATGAGAGTCATTTTAAACAAAAACGACTAACAATTCTTACAAAATAAATTATGAAATTGTGCATATATCTTAATTTTCGAATATTCCAAGTTCTAATAATTAAATTTAACAAATTTCTAAATACCAAATTCTCTCAGAGAATTTCCAAAAATATCAATGTATTGAATAAGCAAATAAAATGCCTATTTAACCTATTTCAAAGTAGGTGAATAATCCTTCATCATAACACTATGGTGAATAATTCTTGAAAAAAAATAATGCTTGATCAACACTCACCTACTCTCTTTAATTCCTAACAATTTCATTGACAAACTATGAATAAACTATATCGAGTTGAATCTCTAACAAGTCTGAAGATTCGTGCGAAGCTGAAACGTGATCGAGAAACTAACGAACGAAGAAGCCAGAGAGACGCGAGGGGTTGCAAAAGCGAAGAGGGTAGGTATAGTTATATACAGTGGGCACAATGGCAACGGCAGAGTGCATTACGGTTAATACACGAAGGACCGCGGTCGTTTAGCCGAGGATCTCGGCAGTTACCGCTTCGCAAAGGATAAATCATCTCGTGATTTCAACCACGCCTACCGGAGGACAGAAGCGGCTCCCCCAGAGCGTAACGTACGGCCTAGACGGTACTGTTGTCGCTCGATGAAAACCCCGGAGCCGTTCTGAAAGCGGAAAACTAATAATCCTGGCCGCGGATATCCGTTCTGGAACAGTCACTGGCACAGAACCGGAATTGTATATTGATAGCCCAATCGCGAATCGTTCTCGATGGAGACCGCAGTTATTGCGACACGTTTATCCAGTAATTTCGACTTCTTCGATCAGGAACGATACCAATGCGATTTTGGAACAATGATTTATGGTTTCTGTTTGTATTAGGAAGCTTCTGACAAATTAGCTTCACTGCGAGAATATGATAATCTCTGAATGGAAGAACGAGAATAATGCTACTATTCTGAGTAACATCAATATTCTGAGTAATACGCTAGAAATGAACGTTTTAGGTCTAAAAGAAGGTGATTCAATTTTGATATATTATTTGTTATGAACAATAGAGTAATACAAGTTTCTTATAAAAATTTGCAAAGATATTTGACTGCATTTTTTTCCATCTCTTTGAGGATGAAGCAAATTTTTAATTACATGTTATATTATGTTATTATTGTGAAAATTTTACATTAGTCTTGTGTTTTGTAATTATTATAAATTTTCTTAATAAATGCTAACTATGGTCGAACATCCACTAGGTTATTTTATTAAATGTCGCGCTCTGACAGAGGGTTGTAATACATATTTGCACCATTAGTTCTGAGATGTCCTACAGAAATGATCGAACAAATTATGTATACATTGTAATCGTGTATCATGCATACAACACCAGTGAGACATAAAATTTGAAATATCATTGCTATTCATGCATAGAAGATAAAAAGATTTAGAAAAGCATCCATTAACGTTACCGGTAATAACAGTATAAATTTATAACTCTGTAAGAATTATTTATTAATGAACAGAGTGGGTATAAAATAAAAATAGATTGTACATAAAACTTGCAGTTAAAACTTCAAATCGACTTTGCTCATATGTCATGTGTCATGACATATTCAACCAGCTATAATTTAAAGTTGAAATAAATAATTTTGTAATTCGTGAATCTCAAGGAACTGAAATAACTTTTCATATTATATAATGTATTAATATGAGGATTAAAAATTACAGGGTATGTTATTCACTTTTTGTGTTCATTGAATGATAAGGGATGAAAGCTTATTCGAAAGGATAATTGGAGATTCTCACAGCCACGTGTAAGAGCAACTATAAACGGTGGACTAACGCAGTCTATTTCCCACAGTCGGTACTGCGTTCGAGAGCCGGGAGATTTTCCCATTTTCCCCAAAAGGCCGTGAAATTGGGCAGACAAATCGCAGCTCGAGAGACCGAGACGAATTTCACCAGACCGTGCCCTCTGCTACTGCATCCAACGTCTGTCACCTTCTATCT